ACAGGATGGGCAAGAATCCGCAATGATGTGGAATCATTTCGTCACATCTCCTCCGTTACCATAGACTGTGAAGAGTAGCGCAGCACATTCCACAGTGTTAAACCGGCGCGGGCTACACTGTAAGAGCCATGATCTCAAAACATATGCGTGCAAATTGTTAGACAGAATCGGACTTATGCGATAGTTCGGTCATGGGCCTTATGCTGCTGGAGGGCGGACCGTGACTTTAATCCCACGTCTGGAAACAGAATCAGTGATTTTACTGGTAATACCTTTGAGGAAACGAATGTCTATGATGAAGTAGGAAAGCAAGTCTTGATGGCGGGTGTCCCTAAACGAATCTTTCGCAATGGGGGGGAGAAAGCGTAAACAAAAATATTGTCGGCAGAAGCCCAACAGGCAGCCACAGTGAGAAATCCTCTCTAGGTGGGTCGGGTACAACGGGATGGCGGTTTTGAGGGGAAGAACGGGCGGGGCAAACGGCAAAGGACACTAAATTGGCAGATAGAAGCCGAAAAATGTTGAAAGTCGAAGGAAAATAAATTTTTGTTTTAATGAAGTCAAAAATAGGGGGAGGATGGCGCGCAAATAGGGAAAACCGTAGGCAATGACCAATCAAATGAGGGCTGGCCGGGGACGTGATGTGATTGGCCGCCGGGGCGAGTAAACCTGAACCGCCAAGCGGCTAACCAATGGGATCATTGGCGCCGCACTTGAAAGTGGTGTGCGTTAGATAGGAAGGATGCGTACGATGCACAAAGGGAACGCGGGCTGTCAGCGGTGTACTGCGGTTGGGTAAGAGTATTTGTATAAAGTGCTTATGACAATTGCATCACTACCCGGCCCCTTACTGACCCCCTCCTCAACCCCTCCCTATTTGGTATATCGGTGATCTCCACGGCATGCACCGTTTAGTACGCATAACGTGAACAATGTTTAAGATACCTGGACGTACTCCAACACCACCGCACCAACCTACAGCAAGTCGGTAAACTCCCGACCTTGGCGGTCGCTGTTTTACGGGATTTGCAAGTATCCATGGTGAGAACAGCTTGTAGGCCTACGTAACCCTTTTAAGTTTAAATTTATCCGCCGTAACCCAAATTGGGGGACCAGGCGTGGAAGTACAGATAGACGAGACGCTCATAAGTCGCGGCAAATAAAACAGGGGACGACCGCGGCGGCAGTTGTGGGTCATATATGTACGATACACGCAGGCGGAAAGCCCTATTTGAACAGATTAACAACCGCAGCTGGGAGTCCATGAGGCCCGTCATAAGGAAGTGGGTGGCTGCTGGTAGTGTTATCGTAACCGATGAGTGGAAAGGTTGCACCCGCCTACCGTCCGAAGGTTGTAGGCACTGCACTGTGAACCGCCGTAGGGGCTTCGTGAATCCCACAACGGGACGGCATACGAACGCCATAGAGGCCAACTGGAGCAGATTAAGGGGGAACCCTAATAGCAAGCGAGCTCGCCGCAAGCCGGTGTACTTGGGGGGGAGGGGGTAGTGGGTCTGGAGCCTGCTCGCGGTTTGGATTGGTTCCCGGGTCGGCTGCGTCGGCGTCGCCAAGGGCGCAACCGGCCGCGCATAGTTGCACTTGATTATCGATTGGCTTGGTGCCCGATAGTCCTCTGCCTCTTGCCGGTGCCACTTTTTGCTCTCTCATGCTGCACTGCACACGTCGTGTCTCGCTCTACGCTGACAATGCCTACCCTAACTGTCTTTGTTTTTGTGTTCGCTTGTGTCTCCTTTTACGCACAGTTATATTTACTCCTGTTAGTAGGCCTTCATACGACGTCAAGCCTACCTACTGCGATTGCAGCCGTTACCTACTGACAATGGGAAAGCTGGCGATTGAGGAAAGCCTACAAACGCCAATTGGATAAGCTAACCAACGAGCGCGCAGACGAAGACTGGAAGGTGTGACTCTGTACTTCGTCCACATTCTCTCCATGCCTACCTACAGTGCTGTGGCCGTTACCGGCCGGTCAAAGAGGGAGCTGTCGTTTTAGGATAGGCAACCATCGACGAGTGGAGAAACTAACCAACGAAGGCGCAGACGGAAGACTGGAAGGTATGACTCTGTACTTCGTCCACTTACTCTCCATGCCTACCTACAGTGCCTGTGACCGTTACCGGCCGGTCAAAGAGGGAGCTGTCTAATGAGGAGAGCCAACCACCGGCGATTGGAGAAAATAAACAGCGAACGCGCATACGGAAGACTGGAAGATATGACTCTGTACTTCGTCCACTCACTCTCCGTGCTTACCGACAGTGCCTGTGGCCGCTACCGGCCGGTCTAAGAGGGAGCTGTCGTTTGAGGAGCGCCAACCATCGACGATTGGAGAAGCTAACCAACGAAGGCGCGGACGGAAGACTGGAAGGTAAGACTCTGTACTTCGTACACTTACTCTCCATGCCTACCTACAGTACCTGTGGCCGTTACCGGCCGGTCAAAGAGGGAGCTGTCGATTGAGGAGAGGCAACCATCGACGAGTGGAGAAACTAACCAACAAAGGCGCAGACGGAAGACTGGAAGGTAAGACTCTGTACTTCATCCACTTACTCTTCATGCCTAACTACAGTACCTGTGGCCGTTACCGGCCTGTCAAAGAAGGAGCTGTCGTTTTAGGAGAGCCAACCGTCGACGATTGGAGAAGCTAACCAACGAAGGCGCGGACGGAAGACTGGAAGGTAAGACTCTGTACTTCGTCCAGTTACTCTCCATGCTTACCGACAGTGCCTGTGGCCGCTACCGGCCGGTCTAAGAGGGAGCTGTCGTTTGAGGAAAGCCAACTATGGACGATTGGAAAAACTAACCAACGAAGGCGCAGACGGAAGACTGCAAGGTAAGACTCTGTACTTCGTCCACTTACTCTCCATGCCTACCTACAGTACCTGTGGCCGTTACCGGCCTGTCAAAGAAGGAGCTGTCTAATGAGGAGAGCCAACCGTCGACGATTGGAGAAGCTAACCAGCTAACGCGCAGACGGAAGACGGGAAAGATATGACTGTACTTCGTCCACTTACTCTCCATGCCTACCTACAGTACCTGTGGCCGTTACCGGCCGGTGAAAGAAGGAGCTGTCGTTTTAGGAGAGCCAACCGTCGACGATTGGAGAAGCTAACCAACGAAGGCGCGGACGGAAGACTGGAAGGTAAGACTCTGTACTTCGTCCAGTTACTCTCCATGCTTACCGACAGTGCCTGTGGCCGCAACCGGCCGGTCTAAGAGGGAGCTGTCGTTTGAGGAGAGGCAACCATGGACGATATGAGAAGTTAACCAGCTAACGCGCAGACGGAAGACGGAAAAGATATGACTGTACTTCGTCCACTTACTCTCCATGCTTACCTACAGTGCCTGTGGCTGTTACCCGCCGGTCAAAGAGGGAGCTGTCGTTTGAGGAAAGCCAACTATGGACGATTGGAAAAACTAACCAACGAAGGCGCAGACGGAAGACTGGAAGGTAAGACTCTGTACTTCGTCCACTTACTCTCCATGCCTACCTACAGTACCTGTGGCCGTTACCGGCCGGTCAAAGAGGGAGCTGTCTAATGAGGAGAGCCAACCACCGGCGATTGGAGAAACTAAACAGCGAACGCGCATACGGAAGACTGGAAGATATGACTCTGTACTTCGTCCACTTACTCTCCATGCTTACCGACAGTGCCTGTGGCTGTTACCGGCCGGTCTAAGAGGGAGCTGTCGTTTGAGGAGAGCCAACCATCGACGATTGGAGAAGCTAACCAACGAAGGCGCGGACGGTAGACTGGAAGGTAAGACACTGTACTTCGTCCACTTACTCTCCATGCCTACCTACATTACCTGTGGCCGTTACCGGCCGGTCAAAGAAGGAGCTGTCGTTTTAGGAGAGCCAACCGTCGACGATTGGAGAAGCTAACCAACGAAGGCGCGGACGGAAGACTGGAAGGTAAGTCTCTGTACTTCGTCCAGTTACTCTCCATGCTTACCGACAGTGCCTGTGGCCGCTACCGGCCGGTCTAAGAGGGAGCTGTCGTTTGAGGAGAGGCAACCATGGACGATATGAGAAGTTAACCAGCTAACGCGCAGACGGAAGACGGAAAAGATATGACTGTACTTCGTCCACTTACTCTCCATGCTTACCTACAGTGCCTGTGGCTGTTACCCGCCGGTCAAAGTGGGAGCTGTCGTTTGAGGAAAGCCAACTATGGACGATTGGAAAAACTAACCAACGAAGGCGCAGACGGAAGACTGGAAGGTAAGACTCCGTACTTCGTCCACTTACTCTCCATGCCTACCTACAGTACCTGTGGCCGTTACCGGCCGGTCAAAGAAGGAGCTGTCGATTGAGGAGAGGCAACCATCGACGAGTGGAGAAACTAACCAACGAAGGCGCATACGGAAGACTGGAAGATATGACTCTGTACTTCGTCCACTTACTCTCCATGCCTACCTACAGTGCCTGTGGCTGTTACCGGCCGGTCAAAGAGGGAGCTGTCGATTGAGGAGAGCCAACCACCGGCGATTGGAGAAGCTAACCAACGAAGGCGCAGACGGAAGACTGGAAGGTAAGACTACGCACTTCGTCCACTTACTCTCCATGCCTACCAACAGTGCCTGTGGCTGTTACCGGCCGGACGATTGGAGAAGCTAACCAAGGAACGCGCTGAAGAAAGACTATAAGGCATGACTTTGTACTTCGTCTATTTACTCTCTATGCCTACCTACAGTGCCTGTGGCCGTTACCGGCCGGTCAAAGAGGGAGCTGTCGTTTGAGGAGAGCCAACCATCGGCGATTGGAGAAACTAAATAGCGAACGCGCATACGGAAGACTGGAAGATATGACTCTGTACTTCGTCCACTTACTCTCCATGCCTACATACAGTGCCTGTGGCCGTTACCGGCCTGTCAAAGAAGGAGCTGTCGTTTGAGGAGAGCCAACCATCGACGATTGGAGAAGCTAACCAACGAAGGCGCGGACGGAAGACTGGAAGGTAAGACTGTGTAATTCGTCCACTTACTCTCCATGCTTACCGACAGTACCTGTGGCCGCTACCGGCCGGTCAAAGAGGAAGCTGTCGATTGAGGAGAGGCAACCATCGACGAGTGGAGAAACTAACCAACAAAGGCGCAGACGGAAGACTGGAATGTAAGACTCCGTACTTCGTCCACTTACTCTCCATGCCTACCTACAGTACCTGTGGCCGTTACCGGCCGGTCAAAGAGGGAGCTGTCGTTTGAGGAGAGCAACCACCGGCGATTGGAGAAACTAACTAACGAAGGCGCAGACGGAAGACTGTAAGATATGACTCTGTACTTCGTCCACTTACTCTCCATGCCTACCTACAGTGCCTGTGGCCGCTACCGGCCGGTCAAAGTGGGAGTTGTCGTTTTACGATAGGCAACCATCGACGAGTGGAGAAACTAACCAACGAAGGCGCGGACGGTAGACTGGAAGTTAAGACTCTGTACTTTGTCCACTTACTCTCCATGCTTACCGACAGTGCCTGTGGCCGTTACCGGCCGGTCAAAGAGGGAGCTGTCGTTTTAGGAGAGCCAACCACCGGCGATTTGAGAAGCTAACCAGCTAACGCGCAGACGGAAGACGGGAAGATATGACTGTGTACTTCGTCCACTTACTCTCCATGCCTACCTACAATGCCTGTGGCTGTTACCCGCCGGTCAAGAGGGAGCTGTCGTTTTAGGAGAGCCAACCGTCGACGAGTGGAGAAACTAACCAGCGAAGGCGCAGACGGAAGACTGGAAGGTAAGACTCTGTACTTCCTACACTTACCCTCCATTCCTACCTACAGTGCCTGTAGTCGTTACTGTCCCGTCATAGAGGGAGCTGACGATTGTGGAGAGCCAACCATGGACGACTGGGAATGCCAACCATGAAAGGCACGGACGGAAGACTGGAAGGTAAGACTCTGTTCTTCGTCCACGTACTCTCCATGCCTAGCTGTAGTGCCGGTAGCCGTTACTGGCCGGTCATAGAAGGAACTGTCGATTGTGGAGAGCCAACCATGGACGACTGGGAAAGCCAACCATGAAAGGCACGGACGGAAGACTGGAAGGTATGACTGTGTACTTCGGCCACTTACTCTCCTTGCCTAGCTGTAGTGCCGGTAGCCGTTACTGACCGGTCATAGAGGGGAGCTGACCATTGTGGAGAGCCAACCATGGACGATTGGGGAAGCCAACCAATGAAGGTGATGACAGATGACTGGAAGGTATGACTGTGTACTTCGTCCACTTACTCTCCATGCCTAGCTGTAGTGCCGGTGACCGTTACCGGCCGGTCAAAGAGGAAGCTGTCGATTGTGGAGAACCAACCATGGACGAATGATGAAGGCAACGATCGAAGACCCAGATGGAATACGTAAAGGGAATACTACATACCTCGTTTATTTACTGTCCATGCCTACCTACAGTAAAGGTACCATTGTCTTCTGGTGATGAGGGATTCTCTTCCGAAGATTCATGGGCAGGTGGACAAGGAGTTACCGCATGGAACTGGAAGCGTGTAATCGCGTACCCTTTTTATTGTAAACCAAACTGTTGTATATTACTGTTGTGGCAAACCGGCGGCCCAAGGCATTCGGGGACGATTTCCCCTACCTCGCCAGTCCCCCTACCTGGCCAGTGTATTGTACCTTTTAATAATTCAGAGTAAATATTTCATATGTCCATGTAGTTGTTAGTGATTACGGTACTGCGAAGCCTCCGGAATGAGGTAAGGTGTGGTAAGCAGTTGAATAACTGTCATCCAAAGGGCTGCGTTAGCTGATATGTGCCTATGGATCACTAATGGGGGAATTGAACGGACGTTGTCTGTTGGATGGGTTGCTGTCTCTAGCAGTGGTAACGTAGCCATCATATAACGGTAAGGATTGCGACTAATCGACCAACCTTGGAGGCTTGGTACGTAAACGTATTTACGTACGCAGAATAATGCAATGACGTCCACTAAGCCTCGTCGATAAACCCTTGTAGGTCAGGAAGGAAGTGATTACGGAAGGCCTTTAGGGCGGGAACTGGGAGATACGTAGAGACTGTCTGAGGCCGCTGCCGGCCACGGTAGACGATAAGTAGGAATAGCTGTAGCTGGTAACGAGCGACATGACCCACCCGCAGGGAAGGGCATATCAGGTCAACTAACAAAGCCGGTTGGGAGGGACAGTAGACTGTGAAGCAGGCGGAAATGGAAACAGCCGATGAAGGAATTGTCGATTGCGGTAAGTTTGCGTAAAAGGGAGCGGTACTGCGGGAAATGATATCGGCACGGCGTAGATTACAGGCCTTCGGAAGGGGGGAAGGGGAAAGGCGTGGGCTAGGCGGTAGAGGTGTATGTAAATACGGCAGTGGTCTAAGAGCCGAATGCCTGTGGTAGCAGCTACCCCAAAGTGACAGACGTATGTTTGGACGGCGTAGGCTGTAAGCCTTTTAGTTTCGGGGGGGAGGGGTGGGTGTTGCAGAATATGCGGAGAGAAGGCCCGCAGGGTCAGGTGTACGCCCGGAAGTTGAAGGCGGGCTGGAAACGTTAGTGGACAGCTGGCGTAAGTGGTAGTCCTAATGACGAAATGGGAATGCTGGCAACTCAGTTAGGTGGACTCCGGAATGCGTAGGAGGAGAGGCAAGTGGACCATGATTGGAAACCGAGAGATGATGACGGGAAACACTACGTAAACCGAGAAACCGTCAAACGGGCAGTTAACAGCGCAACTGCAATGCATGGGGAACTGCCCAGAGGTGGTTTGGAGTAAGAGAAGTTTGTGTGCGTAAATGCATAGAAGTTGCATTGTATGTTGGACATAAATTTTAGGCAACAGGGAATGGGAACTCCACGTAAACCCTACGGAGGCGGGTTGCTAGGTGTGTTTGAATGTTTCCTTCTAGCCATGGATGCCACAGGTCTTCCATTACGGCTACCTTACGTACTATTGTTTGTTCAGTAGGTGTGCTTGTGGTATTTTTTTTGCCGCGGCGGCAAAAAAAAATACCACAAGCACACCTACTGAACAAACAATAGTACGTAAGGTAGCCGTAATGGAAGACCTGTGGCCGCTTATTTGGCACCGGTCATATTGTCATCACTGTGAACGCAACAAGTCTCTGCTTGAGATAAACAAAATGTCCTCGACAGAAATCGTTACAGTAAATGCGTGTGTGTGTGTGTGAACTTGGTTGAATTGAAGGCCGAGGGTTGGACTCCAGCTGGGATTTGTTGCCTCAGGGCCGTACCTATGATGAAAATGAACGTCGTCAACAGTGGTGAACAAGATATTAGTTAGAGGGGGTAAATGAACAGTTGTACTCGTAAATCTCTTTGGTACACCCGAACGCCTGAATGCTATGTCAGAAAATGAAAGCTTACGGCAAAGGCTTACTTTGGGTTAACATAAGCCGTTGGTAACATTTATCGTGGTCTGTATTGTCATGTGTTCGTCTGGAAGAATTACAACAGGAAAATCGCGAATGCGTGGAACTTTGGCATCACTATATATCAACCCTAAAAACAAAACTTTGTCTTATGAATACCGACTAGTGAATGTCAAAGACGAATTTGAAAACATTAACAGACACGTCGGATATGATCTAATTCTCAAAAATGTGAAGTAGTTGTTTCAGGTGATCCTGTTGGACGGACGGGCAACAAGGTGATTGCCGACTTCGACAAAAATTATTGGTAAATCGCGAAAGAGGTCAATTATGATGCGTTGTAATCATTAGTTTGACTTGTAGAAGGCTTATCAACAAAGGCGAACCCGCAGAATTGAATCGCGATTGCCGCTTCGAGGGATGCTTTCAGGGAAACGAGGATTGGGCAAAGGTTTTGACTAGGAAACTGCTGAAAAGCATTGTTAATCTGGCCATATATGAAGAATAATCATGGACTTTAGGACGTTAGTACCCGCTGGTAAGGGATACATCTTGCAAACCACAAACAACGCGTGGGCCAGCGGAGAATCTCGCAATGTTTAACTTTATCATATGATTGAAATCCCTCTTGGCGATATCTAACTTACCAAAAGCTGACTGACGAGTACGGCCGAAATCAGGCAAGCCAGTAGTCAAGTTATCATACACAACGGCCTGCTGACCGATGGCGATTACGGAGTCAAATATTGATAGGGAGTTGACAGTGGAATTATTGACATACTTTAAATAGGAGATGGGATGGCACAAGTTTAATTATTTTAATACAAGTAATTCTTCGAATAAACGTGCCCAAACGGTCTGATATGAATGAGGAGTGAGAAAAAGGATATAAAACCAGACACAGTTAATAGCGGTCTGGACGCCAACAATAGTAATTTTCGGGGAAAAACGTCATAAACCAAGCCATAAGCTAGGGATCCTCGACGAAGCATTTTAACGGGAAATTAAGAATGAGTGACCCACGGTCATCAAGAGATGATCAAAGCAGACTGACGTCAGCATTAATGTCTGAAAAGGAGTTATAACCAGTGACGCTGCCGTAAATATGAAGAAGGGGAATTGGGTAAGTTAGTTCGGTCCAGATAATCGTTGTTACTTGGTTACAAGCGACGTTAAGACTGACAGCGATGGGAGTTTGAACCACAGGTATGCTGAAGACAGCAAAAACCATTGGGATTGGATGGGCGTAAAACTGGAATGGGAGACGTAGGG